TCTGATGCAACAGGATATGATGGATGAGCGGCTTGAAATCATCCATCATTCCACCAAGCCCATTTGCAATCACGCGTGGCACTTCCAAACCAGAGTCGGCAGCTTGTAAGTGTCCCGCCCGCGGTCTGGACAATGGCCTAACTTGCAGAAGTCAAGTCACTTTTACGTCGCAATGGCAAGAGTTTGCTCAGTTGCGCAAGTACGTATCCCGTGAAGGACCTCGATACATAGCAACCACAAGCTTCCCCCGGACACCTGGGGAAGTGATTGTCCAAATCCTTCCTTCTCAGCGAATAATGGGCAGAGCAGCTCAGACATGGTTCAGTCACCGGGACTCGCCCATTCTTTGCTCGATAGACATTGATATCCAAGAACACGATCGAATCGTTGTTTTTCAGCCACAAAATCGCAGACTAGCGCCAGTGCTATCTCAGGCCTTGCCAGTCGCAACGACTGCTTCAGATGAATCAGCTGCGCAGACAAACTTGTGGTCTGTCACCAAGTCTGATTATGAAGCCGTAATGTCGACGGAGGAGGGACCCTGGATGAAAATGGAAGAAGACCGTGTTCTTGAGATCACGCCACCTTTGACAACAACCGACGGTGATTCTTACGAGGCACACACCGTATCCAGTAATCGAATTATCGACAACGCCGACTCTTCTACGGAAGCAATTGAGCAGTGTCGTGTACACCCGCTCGGAGCACGCACGCAACAAGATCCTCAGAGACATGTTCAGAATATCATTCCTGCAACATCAGGACTACACACAAGCGTTGGTCATCCGCAAGGCTCCCCGCGTCGCGAGGATGCCGAGGATGATAGGTGCATCGTTGTCAGGCCCTGGTAGCGATGTGAGCAGTCTCGTGATTTATTTGTTTCTATATGAGTGGGTCTTGAAGCCGTTGACGGCGATGAGAGTCAATATGAGGGTGATGCAAGGGCAAGGCTGGTCGGTTCATAGTGTATTGCTTTTCGGTTGTACGAAGCAGGGCGTGTCAGAGTAATGCCTGTTCGTTTGAAGTGGATTGGCGTGTGAGGAAGCACAGACCGATGCACTACATACATACATAGTTTATTACGCCCCAGCTAAGCTATTAAGGGCTCAGATGATTATCTACATATTCTCCACTTTCGTTCATATCCTTGCCTCCCAGAAGCCCATACAAGTTTTGTCTGCCTCCGTATGTATCATCTTCAGTTTTACATGCCAATGCTGCGGTTGCTCGTGGTGTTAGTAACAGGCCATCTTGAGGTTGTCTCCCAAAGTGTTCGGCGTCCTATCGTCGGCGGCCGAAGCCAGTCCTGCTGTCGGTGGCACGAGGGTGCGTGGGGGTTGTCGTCGGTTAGTGTGTTGATGTAGGTGGTGTGTGATCTCGCTGCTGGTTGATCTGTGCATCCAGCCTCTGCGTACTCATGGCAAACTTGATCGTCTCTTTGACAACGTCTATGCATGGCGACCAATCATCAGGGTCGGATGCGCTCTTTCCTCCGAGAAAGTACGACAGGTTCCCTCTATGCGTTTCCGTCTGTTGAAGCATCCGAGTTCGTTGTGCCGTCCACTGTGTGCAACGGAAGAGAAAATGCTCGACCGATTCTGCCGCATGCCCACAGGCGCAATGCGCCGAGGCAGTTGCTCCGATCTGGTGCAGGTACCAGTTCAGTCTTGCCATCCCGGTGCGCAGTTGCGCCAGGATACTGGCTTCTTTCCAAGAGAGCTCATCATATAGCTCGCGCGTATGCTTTCCTGGTAAAGCCACATCGATCTTCTTCGAGAATGCTCCTACGTTGTCGGGCAAAGCTCTGTACTTCTGTCGCACGCTCTGCAAAGCGATTCTAAGTGCCGTCGAGTAGGCTCTGGCCGGTCGTTTCTGCGGTGTCTTGCTCGGTATTGTGCTTTCCTTTGCTGCTGCTTTGGCCGCTTTCGACAGGTCTGATTCTGTTGCTGATGGAAGCCAGAAGAGTGTGACTCTGTTGCCTTTCCTCCGAAGATCTTGCACGCCAGCGTATAGTTGACGGATCTCTCGTTGGCCCGACTGCTGCCGCGGTTTACGGATGGCTAGCACAGCCGCTTTGTTGCGGGTGAACACGTGGATGGCCCGGTAGTCGAGCCTCTGGGGTAGGGCCTTGACCGCTTCTGCCAGCGCCGCCAGCTCTGCTACATACGGGTTCAGTTCTGTTCTCAGGCCGAGTGTGCGCGAGGCCGTTATCACGCCGCCACCCCCTCTGAGTGATGCAGGCAGCATTGTGACCGTTCCGTAGCCCACAACCCCGTTTCTTGCCGAACTTGCCGTCGCTATCCTCACTGCCCACCCGGACTGGATTGCTTCGGTGGCCTTGACCGCGTCGTTGTCGACTGCTGTGTCAATCCGGGCTTCCCATGGAGTGATCGAATACCCTTCGATAGTCTCCAGCTTGTCAAGAGGTAGGTCGCGGTAGGCCTCCGCCATCAACTGGAAGGGTGATGGAAACCGTCTAAAGGCCACCGCCCGTAGACGCCGAAGCGGATGGGTCTTGGGAAGGCTTCGCATCCGCACCCAGAATGTCGTTGATTTTCTGTCGTATCTCTCTTGCGCCGATTGTATGCTTGCCTCCGCTTCGGCGACCGCTGTGGCCACTGTGTTGAAGGTTCCCACGACCGCTTGGGCGCCAATCCTCTGCACTCGGTTGATTGCTCTCATCTGCGCTGCGCGACATCTATATCTCCAGACATTCGACGCGTAGTCCATCGTTGGTGCTACGGCCGCGACGAAAAGCTGTCTGACCGTTACCGGTGACAGACCTTTGAGCCGTCTGAGTCCCAGCACGGCCTCCAGCCCTTTTGTCGTCGCGTCTGCGATGTGCTTTTCGAAACGAAGCTTCGTGTCCATCGTCACCCCTAGTACTTTGACGTGGTCCTTTGGTCGGACAGTATTGCGTTTGATGATGAAGCCGGTCGAGTCTGGCGGCAGCCTCCAGTTGCGCGTGAAGTGGATGATAGCCGTCTTGTCCCTCTCGAAGGTCGCCCCGCTTCGTCGTTCCCACTCAAGTGCTCTGTCAATGATGTTCTGGATGCCTTCCCGGTTTGCTTCTCGCGATCGTCCGGTGACCCACGCCGTGTAGTCGTCGACGAAGGCCAGCGCGCCCCCGTTCTCGTCGATTTGGTGTTGTACGAGGTCGGCATTGAAGAAGAGAAACAGCACGGGCGATAGCAGCGAGCCCTGAGGCAGACCGGCTTGTGGTAGCGGACGAGCCTCGGACTCGTGACCGTTGACCAATATGCTTGCTGTACGATGGGAACAGAAAGCGTCGACCCATCTCACAAGCTTCTCAGGCATACCCCGTGCCCTGAGTCGTTGAAGTAGTCTCTCCTTGTACACACCATTGTATGCTCCCTTGACATCAAAGCTGACCAGACTGACCACCTTTCTCTTTCTCCACGCTCTGTAGATGTACTCCTGCAGCAGTACCAGCGCTTGCTCCGCCGACCTCTGCTTGCGAGCGCCAAAGTGGCTCGTAGGGAGGAGGCAAAACGTCTCGACCGCGTGCGAGATACGTTCTGCCAGGACCGACTCGAGCACTTTTCCGAGCGTCGAGAGCAGCGAGATCGGTCGCCAGGCCTTTGCCACGCCGTAGTCGCTTTTATTTGGCTTCTTCAGCGGGATGATTTTGGCGTGTCGCCATTGCTGAGGCAGCGTCCCTTCATCTAGCGAGGCCTGGAAAAGTGAGAGGACCCTCCCCTTCACCACCGGCCATGTGTGCTTCCACACTGCCACCGGCAGACCATCTTCTCCGGGAGCTTTCCACGACTTTGCCGCAAAGAGCTGTCTCTCTATTTCTCCCAACGTCAGGTCGGGGAAAGGCACGGGCGACCTCTGTGGCCGCTCGCCCTCCTCCTCGATCCTGCTGGGAAGAGGAGGGAAGAATGTGGAAAGTAGCTCTGCGGCCTGTTCTGCGGCGTCTTCCGTTTGGGAACCATCGGCTCTTTTTAAATGGGGAATCTTGTCGAGGGAAGCCCCTTTGCTGACGTTGAGGTACTTGGCGGCCTTCCAGATGTTTGTGTCGTCGACTAGAAAGTCCTCCCAATGGCTCTTCTTCTGTTGTCGGATGGCGTCGTGATATTGCTTGGCTGCCGAGCGTGCGCGTTTTTCCAGCTCGGGTTGGGTGTTACCTGCCCTTCTCTCCGCCCTCGCCCGGTTCCTCCAGTGAGTGTGGATCTGCCGTAGCTGGTTGAGGTCGGCTGTCCACCATCTCTTCGCATACGGAGATGGCTTGGCTTCGGGGGTCAGTGCTTCTACTGCCTCGCACACCACAGACATCAGTCGATCGGTCTGCTGCTGCACTGTACCTCCCGTTGGCATTCGCCCTAGGTTTGCTTCTACTCTCTCGTTGATTTGCTTCCATGGAGCGTTCTTGAGGAGGAGCCGTGGTCGGCTTTCCATCTCAGGCGCGGCAATGTCGAAGGTCGTCTCGATCGCCCGGTGGTCCGACCCGTGGTCTGTCTCGTGCAGGGCGCATCGTACCACCGTTCTTGCTAGCTCCTCGGACGCGAGGGATAGGTCGATTGTCGTTGCCGCCTCGTTCTTCTCCCACGTCTTCGTGCCACGCGGAAGGAGGCTGCGGAGCGAATACTCGCTCATCAGATCAATGATCGGGTCTGCCTCGCCTTGCCTGCCCTCCGACACATTGTCGCCTCCCCACAGATAGTCGTGGCAGTTGAAGTCTCCTACCAGAACCACGTCCACCCTTTCACCGGTTCCTACTCGGACATTCGTGATAGCTTGTCTCAGCAGGTTGCACGCCTGCCGCAGCATCTCCGGCTTCTGCACCGGCACGTACACCGAAGCCACCAGCAGCCTTCGATCCGGAAGCCGAACAACGGCCGCAGTAATATCCGAGGACGCTATCGGCACCTGTTCCGCCTCTACTTCTCTGTTCACCCACAGCAAACTCCTGATTCCCCATCTTCCTTCGTCCCTCCACTCCGTCGGTACCATCCTCGTCCACCTGCTATGTCCCATCGGAACAGTAATGGCCTTACCTTCTATCCTCCGCGCCCATGGCTCCTGCACCGCTATGGCCGTGAAGTCGCGCAGCGCCTCGTCATTCATCAAACTCTCGTGGACCTCAGCCTGTTTCCTCACGTTAAGCTGAAGGATCTGGACCTTCCTACTCATGGGAGCGCGGATACAGCTTCGGGCAGTTCTTGCTGAACGACTCGTGCGGTCCGCCACAAGGCACGCATGTCACGATCGTCTCACGGCATTCAGAATGGTGGTGGCCTACCTTGGCACATCGTCCACACACCTGGGGGTTTGCGCACTGATACGCCTTGTGCCTGGTGATCTGCTGGCAGTTGTAGCGCTGTTGGGGACGTGGCCGCCGCTCAAATGCCATCGTCGTGCCGGACTCTCCTCCAACGTGGAAGAAGCCCTCGGAGATCAGTCTATGCGCGTCACTGGCCTTGGTCACGAACACGACCATGGACCCATACGCCTTGGGCATGTCTTTCTTGCTCAGCCAAGATATCTTGGCAACGGTGGTCTCGTTTTCTCGGCTAAGTGCCTCTGCCGCTTCAGCCCTGACATTGCCCTTCTCATCCAGTACCTCGGTTCTCTTCACGTTATCGATCTTCACGGGGTAGAGTTCGTCCTGTAGAACTCGTGTGCCGGGACCGAAGCTCTTCTCCGCGATCTGCTTGACAAGCCTATGTTCAGCATCGTCGCGACAAATGATCCGAATCCTATCCGCGTTCCTTGGGTCTACTGTGATGGCCCGACAGCGCCAACTGCCCTGTCCGTCCATCGCGCGCATCTCCTTCTCCACCGCAGCCCGGATCCGACCTGCGTTGGGCTTGTCGCTCATTTCATCAACTCTCGATGTGTCGATCGTACAGAATAAGGGGTCCCTGCGGCTCGGCGGCGTCGCGTTGCCCGGCGTAGCTACCCGCGAGTCGCGACCTTGCCCGCGTAAGCCGCTTCGCGCGACGTCCGCGTATGACGCACTTGGGCTGTTCCGCGTCGCAGCCCCTGCCACGATTGCTTCGAGGTTCTCGTTCGTCTTAGCGCTTTCGTCTTCAACGCGTTCTTTCATCGCTTGTAGCTCTCCTTTAACAGACTGTAACTCGCTCTTAACTGTTTGCAGCTCCGAAGTGACCACGCGAAGCTCTGCCTCGACGTTCTTGCTCCATGTTTCCGACTTCTTCCACGCGTCAAACATAATCTTAATCGCTGCGTGTAGCTCTTTGACTTGCTTGCCCATCGTCAGGAGCAACCCTTTGTCGTCCTCCTCAACAGGCTTCACGCGTTCCTTGGCCATTTTGCGGCTCGAGTAGTGGTCGCCCGCCGGCCACTGCCAGCAGTCTCGTTCGCTCGCTCGATCGCATCTTCGGTGATCCCTTGGTGCGTCTAGTTCAGTCGAACTTTCGCGGATGGTTTTCGCACTCTTCGCGATGCCAGGTCCTCGTCGCTTGCTGCCGTCACCTCCCTCGCAACGGTGATGGACGTCGAATCTGGCTCGAGGTCCATCGCGTCGGGACGTGCGTTGGGTCGCTACGCGGTGGATCGTGCTAGTGCCACGTAGCGCGTTCCGCAGCTTCTCGACAGCGATCAACTCAACAACGTCAAATGATTCTTCAAACAAACAAATATCAAAAATCTTCCCGCCGGAGCCAAGCACCTATCGTATTTTAATTGTACAAGAGTACACCGGTACTCAGCAACAGCAAAATGCAGAGGAATACAGAGCTCCTTGGGGCCAGTACAGTATGGCTGGGTTGTCGCAGTACATACTTTTTCCTAGTTACGTAGCCGATGTGCCACGGTTCGCTGATGTAGTAGCTTGGGTTTCGGTTTCTGACTGAACAGTTTGCTTTTCAGTTTGTGGGCTCAGCGGGGACATTGGTACATAAATCCAAGCAATTTCGTTCTGTCGGTATGTAACAAGGCCACATGTGTCTCGGCTAAATCATATCATGGTTGAGTCTACGGAGTACTGTACGCTCAAAAGCCAGAAGCGTACTCAATCAACCCCCCCGGCCCGCTCCGCGAAACTCATTCAACCTCATGTTTGTAAGGACGCTAGCCTAGTGTGACAATTATCCGTTTGACCCTGGTCTGCTGCCCCCGATGAGTAGACGTAGACTGTCTGCTAGTGTTTGAAAAGTATCAGACAGAAGATAGAGCCGTATGCGGCTTAGACGGGGTGAAAACCCTGGTGAACACACATACACGGCCGTGGATGGTGGCGCAAGCTGCTGGGTACGTGGGTCTGGAAGCACGATAATGATGTCGGGAGGCCGGCTTAGTGGTATGATTGGAGAGAATGCACAAATCCAGGACCGGCTCCGGTTTATCTAGTAAGTACATACAAAAGGGAATTTAAACTGGGTTTCCACACTCAACGTCCAGCGTCATGAAGCGTTATGATTGATTCGATGATCAACAACAAGAGACGTCTTGAGGGCGACTTCACAGATCGTGATGCTTTTTGGGAAATACTCCGCAGCAAAAAGTGCAATGATCACCGAGTCGTGCATCGACTAGAGTCCTCTTTATCGGACCACAAGAGGAGATGTGTTAGGCAGATAGCTAAACA